ATGATAGTTTTTTGAATTAACTAGAAAAATGTAAACAAGAGAACCATAAGGTATTTCTGAACTTTCTAGACTTTTCTTTTAAACGTTTTTAAGCCATTCCTATGATTTTAATAAACAAGGAAATGCCGTTAAAACATTTTTAAGGCGCGGAATTCACTAAAAATTGAGGAAATATACGAAACTACTTTCTCAATGCGCGGATCATAAACAAGGAGCGGATTGATACTTTCTTGGGAACCTATTTGTGTTGCCAGCTGATTAGAAACAGCCAATGTTAGAAATCAGGATTTAATAAGTGATATATCGAACAGCATCGAAATCGATATTTAATCCGATAATACCTCACAGGTTATATTATGTTGAATTACATCGACGGCACGTTACACTTATTAATAAAACGCAGATAGAACACTGATCTAATTTAGGCATGTGGGGAAGGTAGGTCGGGATTTATGAGTATTCGTGACTACATTAAGTGTTGAAGTAAGGTTAGATTAGGAAGGCAAAGTGTAGGTTATAGGTAGATGATCGAGTCGTTTATTTGTGTTGCACCATATAATAGTTTGTATTGTGTAGTAGTTTGCATTGGAATAGTTTGTTAAACGGTGAAACGATTTCAAAAATGCTTGCATGTGGTCTTAACAAACCATCTACAGTATTCTAGCATTGACTTTATATAAAGTCAATGATTCTAGCAAATTACTACACAAAACCCAGAACATTTGGATTTGGACTTTTGACCATAGCAAAACTAACATAATTTATGAAATGTTAAAAGTTGTAAATCATTAAATACTATTCTGTAATATTAATAATTGTTCGGCAAATCCTCATTTTAATGGCTCGGCTGGAATGGAATCTGCATTTTGTGAAACAGTAATTTGGTAACAATTCAGTAATTTCAAATGTTGATAACAGTAGCCTATCTATTCTATATATAATTCAGTTTTAAAAATCTTTGTACAACTAAATCTAGAGTTCTACTGGACCAATTTTAATAATTAATAGGTCTTTGTAAAGCTTAATTTATGAAGATTTGCAAATAATCACGATAGTTTGTATTCGTTATGATTCATCTATTCTATATATAATTCAGTTTTAAAAATCTTTGTACAACTAAATCTAGAGTTCTACTGGACCAATTTTAATAATTAATAGGTCTTTGGAAAGCTTAATTTATGAAGATTTGCAAATAATCATGAAAGTTTGTTTTCGTTATGATTTATGGTGAAAATTAAAAAAAAATTTATTCTATATATAATTCAGTTTTAAAAATCTTTGTACAACTAAATCTAGAGTTCTACTGGACCGATTTTAATAATTAATAGGTCTTTGGAAAGCTTAATTTATGTAGATTTGCAAATAATTATGAAAGTTGGTTTTTGTTATGATTTATGGTGAAAAATTAAAAAAATATATGTTTTCCATAAGAAATACATTGAAAACGGTGTTTTTCACACTTTTTATTTGGGTGAGCCTTTCGGCTGCCTTTTTTGAGTGTTTCCAAGAAGTGTATGGTATCAATTTGTAGGAAATTTTATCCTCTTTCAGAATATCACCTTCCACTTTAGTCGATTTCCTCACCATTTAAAAGCTGTTTGTAAAAATAACTAAGCAACCTCCGAATTTATAGTAATGAGAAAATACTGAGTTAGGGATATTTTTGTTAAACTTTGTACAACTAAATCTAGACTTCTACTGGACCGATTTTGTTAATTAATGGGTCATTGTAAAGCCCAACTAATGTAGATTTGCAAATAATTATAAAAGTGTGATTTTGTTAAATATTTGTGAAAAAAGTAAAAATGACAAAAATACATTAAAAACGGGTGTTTTTAGGTTTCTGTTTTCAAGTTTCTATTTGTAGCCAGCTTTTGGATGCCTTTATTAATAATTTTCTAGAAATGCATAGTACTATAGTTATTTGTAGTAAATTTTATTCTCTTTCAGAATATCCTCCGTTAAAAAGTTATTGGCAATAATCTAAGTGATCTCCAAATTTATAGTGGTGAGAAAATACTGAATTAGATATATTTTTGTTAAACTTTGTACAACTAAATCTCAGACTTCTAACGGACCAATTTTGTTACTAAATGGGTCGTTGGAAAGCCTAATTTGTGCAGATTTGCAAATAATTATGAAAGTTTGATTTTATTACATATTTTAGGTAAAACAATAACAGTAAACAATATTACATTTAAAACGCCTTTTTTCCATGTTTACATTTCCACGTTTATATTTGTAGCCAACTTTTAGCTGCCTTTATTGAGTATTTTTCCAGAATTACATAATAGTAATTTGTAGGAAATTTAATCCTCCATCAGAATATCGCCTTCCACTTTAGTTGATTTCCTCACCATTTCAAAGTTATTTGCAAGAACGTTAAGCAACCTCCAAATTTATAATGGTGAGAAAATACTGAACTAAATATTTTGTTGTTAAACTTTGTACAACTAAATCCACAGTTCTACTGAACCGATTTTATTAATTAATAGGTCATTGGAAAGCCTAATTAGAGTAGATTTGCAAATAATTATGAAAGTTAGATATCCAACACACATCCAACACTACAAAATAAAACCATACAACGTTCTCTTGCAATTTTCTTGCAACGATCCCTGTGTCAAATTTTTAGTTTGCCTGGACTATTACAGCATTTTTTGTTAATGATTTTGAGACATGAGTGGTGGTGTAGACCTGAAGTATTACAACTCAACGTGTAAATCTAGCCAAACCTGTTACAAATGATAACTTAAACTGCATCCTAATAATCGAGGCTGTATACAAATGTAACCTGTGCAATGCATTGTTGAATATGTATACAGTGGATTGTTCTATGAAAACTAGTCCAGTCGCAGTATGTAATTTCAAGTAGTTGTCGCAGCCAACCTACTTACAGACACTTCATATATTACGAGTATCTACTCGCTAATAACCGGTTTTTGCTTCACCTTGGATCCCCAGATGAACTGATGGCTTTAATGAAAACTATATTTCATCATGTAAGCAGAATGGATACAAAAGTATCCAAAATGGTTTAAATGTTTCGTACAAGGAATATATTATAGTTTACAAAGTACTTAATTGAAATGTAAATTTCTACCATCGGAAATTTTACAATATAACTGAAGCATTGCATCCTATACAACACTTGACATGTTCTTAATAATAGTTTAATAGCCAGAGTGGAGTGATATGAATTAGATATTTTTAAATAACTACCCGCTTCGAACAATTACCATTTACAATAAAGTTATGTGATTCAATAAAAACTATTAACAGTTTATCTACATACCGTAATAATATACATAATCTACCTGAATACGTAGAATTAAAAGTTATGACATTCGTATAATAATCATTATGTATCATCTTCGAATTATTATTGGTGGCACTCTTTTTTTCCCCTAGGACGCTCGGCACGAGCCCGGGAATGTTTTCCCATTACTTCAGGGTATACCTAGGGGTTGCGGCATTACCAATTAGATAAAATCCATTGGTGATTTGGTGGGATTTGAATCTAGGACTTCAGGGACCGAAGTCCCGCGCTATAACCACCACCAGCTCGCTCCCCCGCAGTTGTGCACACTAGTGACATTGTTAATCAAAGAATCACATGTTTTGCCGTCCAACTCCCGTCACAATTGTCTGAATGTTGTCGGGGATCAAACTTGTTACACTCAAGTCCGAGATGTTGGTTACTAGGACACCAACAAAAACCCCATAAAATTATGATCATATGCGCATAAGAAATCTTCAGAGGAGTAATCGACATAATTACAATGATTTAGTTCATTAACTAATTGGTTCTGTTCAGATTAAATTAAATGGGCTTCAAAAAACTCAAATACTTATACAGTTCATATAGTATGATTGCGATTTTTAAAACTAACTTGTTACATTCGAATAATAATATCTATTGACTCAGAGACTTGAGTGGTAGGTTAGCACAGAAGTATCGAAAAATAGGTTTTATGTACTTCAAAGTGCAACATATCCAACGTTAAAAAAAGGTAAATTACTTTACAGATGGTTAAATGTAGTTATGGTACTTTTTTACACTATGTAAAAAAAACATTTATTGTATGGGAATCAATTTCCTCTCCGTGTAATTTTAAAAACTAGTAAGTCAATGGAAATAGGTATATAGTTTGACGTATCATTTTGTATCACTTTCATAAATTTTATGTTAATCGCTATATATGCTGGAAAATTGATATACTAGTATTCTTTAAATTATCCAAAGTAGTTTAAAATAGTTTTTAAGATGTATTTTATTTTTCTCAAATATTTTTTATGTACCCCTATGTATGAATATAAATTAAGAACCCTGTAGATTAATTATCTATACAAACCAAGTAGGCAGCAATAGTATTATGGGTTGTGGTCGTATTACGAATTTATGACATTGCAAGTTTTATCCTATCCTTTTAACACTCACGTTTCGATATGTTCATAGGAAAGTTTTTAGAGAATACTATTTATATTTTCGTTTCTATTTTGTTTATATCCTCTAAACATGACTGTTGTATTAATTTATAAACTATTGAACAGCTTTCAGATTAATAAGTTTTTCAGAGTTACTTACTCGAGGAGTACCATAGTTTTATTTCTAACTAACTTAATCTATTCTAACTAATCTAATGTTAAGTTAGGCTGGTAACCACTCGTCTAAATATATCTGCAAGACGTAGGTAATTGCAGACAGCGTATTGGACCCGAAGCTTATAAGCCCCACTTTATAATTACAAAACCAACTAAATCGCATCAGTGCTATTTCATTTACTAAAACTTTCGAACAATACAAATCAATAGTTTTTACTAGGGAGCAACTGTTAATATTTGCATTCTGATCTCTCTGCCACACTCACCCTTAGTCATTCAAGTCCAATTGTTTTGTAAGCTACGGGAGACATAGGATGTTAGATCATCTCCAACCAGGGACTCTGCTAGGGATGCTGTGGCGGTGGCGGGGGCGAGGTCCTGGCCAGAGGGGCAGAGCCCCGGCCCGCCAGTGTCAGTAACGCTGCGATAGTCCGCGAGTGAGTAAGTGAGTGGGAGATACTTTCACTGCATGTGCGAGAACTACTCACGATAAACTAATGATTTCAAGGTATAGTAGAAACTGGGAATATTGTCTTGTGAATCAATGTTTTTATTAGAATAACAGTTTTAATCACTAGAAAACGTTTTATAGTTTTCCCTATTTATTTATTTAATTTTATTTCGAAATCAACAATTAAGTTGCATTACAAATAATAAAATTAATTTGAGCCTAACATCATACATTGTTACATTTATTTGTGAGTGTGTTGTAGCATTGTGTAAATGTTTTTTTGTTGTTAAATATATAATAAACTTTATTATTTACTTTGAATAAGTTTATGCAAAAAATCTGTATCTCAACCTGTGATTTTCAGTAAGGTTGTATTTATAACTAAAGCACGATTTTTTTCTATGTTTCGGCTTGAAATGTATTACAAAATTAAAAATGTTTAGATTTTGTAACTTTGTTGGGTGTAAAGCATTTTTTTAATCACGAATAAGTCCAAAAACTTTGGGAAAATACCAAAGCCTTCCAAAACCAGCTACTAAAATTATTTAGACTTTGTACCTCCTTTTAAAATAACAGTAAAGTTCGTTAAGACTTTAAATTGTCAATGTAAAACACATGAAATTAAATTGTAAAATTTAATGTCCATTGCAGTAGCAGATACAAATACTAGTCAACATAATAGTACTTTAAATAAACAAAGCGTACTTAACCAACCAATTGCGATACAGTAAACATTACCAATAGCATTAAAAACTGTAGTAACACAACGGGAAAATCTGACTTTTAAGAGTACGCCACTTCTTTCAACTCCTGATTTACAATTTAAGGATGGTAATGATCAGGTGATGATTATGTGATCATTCTTCTACTCAGAGACCGGTTTTGCATTGGACCGTCGTTGCTGATTGTTATTGATGATAAATTTTACTCTTTTAGTCGGTCGCACTTCCATAAACGTCAAAACGAATACGTCATTGTGACGCATTGCTAACTTCGTATCCACTATGTGTTCGCCGCTCAAATGGAATGTTGGTTTCATAATTTAAGGTTCATAATTATTTAATAAACCTAATAGATGAATTAAAATAATCGACTTTATCCTTAGATGTCAGAATTTTAGTTTTAAACGTATAGATTTATAGCATAACATTTCTAAATTGATCTCGAAATTACTGTATTAGTTTATAAATGTAATAACTTAATTTTAAAATAATAGAGAACAATTTGACATTGTTCAGACAGTATAAACATGAATTTTTAATTTTGCTTCTTACTCATAGATAAAGGGACCCTAGATAATTTTAACTACAACAGGCTGTCGTTGCATTTGGGGTAGGTTCTGGGACCAATGTACATTACTGTACAAATATTTAAATCTACGCTTGCTCTTTTAGCAAATTTCCCTATAGGGAAGATGCTATTACCGTAGGTGGCGCGGGAAGACCTAGGCCCGGGACCGATTTGCTTTTTCATTTTGATGTCCCCAGAAGCCAAAAACACCATTCAAGGAGCTTAAAAAACAAATAATTTAGTATGTCAAAGTGTTTTGTACGGTTATTATTAACGAAGAAAATTCCAAAAATTGTAAATTTAAAATTCCCATGCTATTCTTGGAGATAATATTGTAAAATGATGTAGTTTGCTTGTTGATGGACATATTTTGATCAAACTTGGCAAATTGATTGATTTTATTCCAAGCTATTAATATTTTACTAAAAAATACACTTTATTAGTTTCTTTGTAACAGCAAACCTGGGTACTCATTAAACCTAATGTTATTTAAATAGGTTTAATTGAAAATCAATTCTGATAAATGGAAATTTGTAGTCGACAGGTTTGCTGCGGCGGGGTATTTTATTTCACGGTAGGTCGACCGTTACTCAGGTTTCTGTATTTCATAACTGCAAATCTTAGTGCTCTCCCAGGTGGGTCACGGTGACTTAGAACCTATTAAAAAAAAAACACTAACAACAGACAAGAGAACAAGTTTATTTGTTCTTTAATTCATACTAGACAAAACAGTTACTCCGTAAACTAAAAATATATTTCCAACAAACTAAACTACCTACCGATGTTGTTTCAAAATTTATGAATGCATGCCGCACTTATTCACAAAACAATCTAAAACTCCAACATTTGACGCAAACGGAACCGTAATATTGTTGCTGCAATCAAACAAAAGAAATCTTATATACTCAAAAACTTTTGCAAATCTTATGACTGATAGCCTGACCATACTACTGGACTGAATAACACGCGGCTAGTACCAAGTGAAAGATATTTTCCTGTATATGTGCAGAATCCCTTTATAAATTAAAATAGGCTAAAAAATTAGCACAAAAAATGAGTTTAAAATTTAAAAAAAAATTAACTTGGGTCTTATGGGTGTCTAGCGCTGGTAACAAAATGACAACAAAATCTAAACAGAAAATCAAAACAAATGGAAGAAATTCCAATCACATGTTCTATTCACAGCGTGGGATGAAAATAGAGAAGTTTGCACAAAACATACTTTTGGTCGAGTTTTTCACCACGGGGCGAGCTTTTGTCATACCTAACAATCTTTCAATAGGAATAGTACTCTCTTAGTTTCGTTTAAGAATTTTACCCTTGAAGACCCTCATACGTGCAAGTACTACTGTATAAGGACCAACTATCCTCTAAGAGACAGCTCCATATCCTTCAGGATTCTCCATTTTGGATACAAATCAGATAGACCTCGATGGATCCTGGTTCGCAGACGGTAGTTTGGAATTGAGATTCATATCCGAGGATGTCTGGGAGGAATATGGATGAGAATTTGAGTCACGACAAGCGGGGACAGAATATATAAGACTTCTGTGAGAATGTCCTTGGGTCGTAGCATGGACTTTGCGACTATCTAAGTTAACAATTTGTTAATGGTCTTGTAATAGAATTTTTATATCTATCCATCTACTTATTTCTATCTATCTATATCTATCAATCTATCTATCTATATTATTAATACGCTACACGAAACTTAGTGAACAATAAGGATTTTTTGTTTTAAGATTTAACCCCACATATTATATACCAAAATGTCTGTCTAAATCATTATTATGGACAACTAAATGTGGCTATGAGTGGGAAACATTTGTAGAAAATGCGAAAAAAACAAGATCAGCTTTTGAAAAATGATAAGATATTACAAGGAACGTTGATTATATCGAACTGTAATGTACATCGTGAGTATATCCATAATCTTAAATATTAAAATGGTATTAATGAAAACCATATTAAAACGTTTTTAAAAAACGTTTGCCGTTTTTTAAAAACGTTTGCCCGTGCCGCGTCGTGTGTGGAACTAGTTCCCGAATTTATGTTAATCGTCTTCGTCTGTCAATGTCTCGTGTTTATTTATTTAAATGTTAGTGTTTTTGTGTGTTTGTAAAACTCGACGATCTCGCAAGAGTGACAACAAGAGCCTGAAGATGAGGTTATAACCTTGAAACCGGTTGCTCTATACAACAAATATATGATCACAGACGGAAACAGGTAATATACACCATTTTAATATTCAAGAAGTGATCCTGGACCAAATAACATCAATATAATCTTTAAGTCGATTGTTTTAAAGTCATCGGAAATTATGACTGCTATTCGTTTTAAAATAACACCTGTAATACTTCGCAAATTGCTCGAATTCGAGCAACAGGTACACTAGTTGTTATTAAATCAGGAAAACTTCATTAAACTTTCAAAATTAAACACTTTGTTGGTTTCTTCTATCAGCAAACCTTAGTAGTGCAATACTAGAGATCGTTATTTAGGAATTTAAGACTAAATGTGATTCCGTTGAGTCCTGATTTAAAACTATTATAAAACCTAAAAAGTGCGTAAACGATTATTTATAACTGGTTTCGGCTTAAAAACTTTAATTTTTGGTGTCGTGTTTTTGTAACATTAGCCTACGCTTTTAGTAAGCTGGGGGATTTAATATTAAACGATAGAATATACTGTAAGAAGTTCAAATGTGCAATAACAATAACCATTACTTAATATGTTTTACCTTTTACCTTTTTCATTACGAGAATTCTACTCTTGAAAAAAGAGTATGCCTTTCTTAATAATATAATGGGTGTCCACTAACATGATTAAATAAATTTAAATAAGAAATTGTTAACATTTTTATGTTAATCTATATAAATAAAATTAGAGTTTTGTCTGTACATTGCTTAGAATAATGAACTTTTTGGTTATTTTTACATTTCATAGGTCAGAGAAACCGAATCAAACCTTATCTCAATTTCTGTCTGTCTGTCTGTCTGTCTGTCTGTCTGTCTATCTGTCATTCTCTTGGTAACGCTAAAATACGCACTTTATTACAACTACTCCTCAATAACTATAGCACTGTCCCGCCTGAAACTTATTTTCCAAATACTATACATATATGAGATGGTTTTAGACGTATTTCATAAAATATGAGACAGTTAGATATTTAACAGTAAACCCTTGAAAATCAAGTTTTTGTCGATTTTTGACGTGGAATTTCTGGAAGCCCATGTTAACCTTATGAGAAATGAAATTATTGAATCTTAACAGCTGTTTCAATTAAACAAGTTGGTTCTGTTCTGTGATGTTCAATAGCATTAAAGTTACAAGGATTACCAACAGGGTGCAGCACTAGCACTATTATTTCTTTTACATTTATGACAACAGCTAATTTGCAACCTGGAGGCGAGTGAGCGTAGCGAACGAGCTAACCTGAAGGCAAGTGAGCGTAGCGAACGAGCTAACCTGAAGGAAAGTGAGCGCAGCGAACGAGCTCCAACATACAGGTGAGTGAGCGTAGCGAACGAACTTCAACCAGGACGTGATTGAGCCATGCAAACGAGATCAGATAGTAAAAATAAAAGTAAGCCTACCGTTATAGGATCGACCGGCAGACACAGAGGTAATTTAACCTTTTATTGATTGTCATACCGATCCGGAACAACAAAAAACAACATAAAATGAAGCTATGTATAATAGTTTGGCCAGCATATCTTAAAATATGCAAACCAACTGCTGTTCGTTATATAAGAAGGTTTCAACTG